TGGCTGTGTAGTACGCACACTTCAGAATTTGTTGCTCTTCCATTCTAATAATATGTCCATACAAGAAAGCTGCTGAAACCGAACCAGTGCGGGCTTTCCTGGTTCAGCATTGAATATCCTCATTTCTGATCCTGTCCTGCAATTTGGTATGGAGCAGCTGATGAAGACAACGAGAATTGAAAACCTTAATCCAATGTTTTCCAGCTTTCCGCAGTGCCCATGTTTCTCTTCCATACAATAGAGTTGGTATAAGCATGGTTCTGTAGATCTGAAGCTTTGTAGCAAACTTGAGGTCATGACAGTCCTACAGAGACTACTGGGTAAACTAAGGCAGTGAAGGCCCAAAACTTGGCAGCAGCTGCTACTACACAAGTGTCCACAGCTTTTAAGTATCATCCAGTACAGTCTGAAGCTTCCTAGATACTTTACTATTGCCACCCGCTTAATGTCCCATCTGGATGGGTTAATCCTGAGCAGGTTGTAATCTGGAGCTCAAGCCTGCTTGATGGTAATGGCCAGGGACTTTATTTTATCTGGATTAATAACCAAACCAATGTGCACTGCTTCTTGCCTAACCAGATCAGACATCAGTGTAGCAATTCACCAAACTGATCCAAAAAACCCACAAAACCCCAGTGTCACTGGCATACCTGAGATCTAAAAGCAGAATGTTCAGCTCAGCACCCCCAACTGCTGCCTATCCATCAGCCAGTCAATGCCAATATTGAACAATGATGGTGACAGAATGATGGTGACAAAACTCGTGGCGAATGGGGGAAGTCCCGGATGACTGGAAAAAAGCTAATGTAGTGCCAATCTTTAAAAAAGGGAAGAAGGAGGATCCTGGGAACTACAGGCCAGTCAGCCTCACTTCAGTCCCCGGAAAAATCATGGAGCAGGTCCTCAAAGAATCAATCCTGAAGCACTTACATGAGAGGAAAGTGATCAGGAACAGTCAGAATGGATTCACCAAGGGAAGGTCATGCCTGACTAATCTAATCGCCTTCTATGATGAGATTACTGGTTCTGTGGATGAAGGGAAAGCAGTGGATGTATTGTTTCTTGACTTTAGCAAAACTTTTGACACGGTCTCCCACAGTATTCTTGTCAGCAAGTTAAGGAAGTATGGGCTGGATGAATGGATGGGTAGAAAGTTGGCTAGATTGTCGGGCTCAATGGGTAGTGATCAATGGCTCCATGTCTAGTTGGCAGCCGGTGTCAAGTGGAGTGCCCCAGGGGTCGGTCCTGGGGCCGGTTTTGTTCAATATCTTCATAAATGATCTGGAGGATGGTGTGGATTGCACTCTCAGCAAATTTGCGGATGATACTAAACTGGGAGGAGTGGTAGATACGCTGGAGGGCCGGGATAGGATACAGAGGGATCTAGACAAATTGGAGGATTGGGCCAAAAGAAATCTGATGAGGTTCAATAAGGATGAGTACAGGGTCCTGCACTTAGGACGGAAGAACCCAATGCACAGCTACAGACTAGGGACCGAATGGCTAGGCAGCAGTTCTGCGGAAAAGGGACCTAGGGGTGACAGTGGACGAGAAGCTGGATATGAGCCAGCAGTGTGCCCTTGTTGCCAAGAAGGCCAATGGCATTTTGGGATGTATAAGTAGGGGCATAGCGAGCAGATCGAGGGACGTGATCGTTCCCCTCTATTCGACATTGGTGAGGCCTCATCTGGAGTACTGTGTCCAGTTTTGGGCCCCACACTACAAGAAGGATGTGGATAAATTGGAGAGAGTCCAGCGAAGGGCAACAAAAATGATTAGGGGTCTGGAACACATGAGTTATGAGGAGAGGCTGAGGGAACTGGGATTGTTTAGTCTGCAGAAGAGAAGAATGAGGGGGGGGATTTGATAGCTGCTTTCAACTACCTGAGAGGTAGTTCCAGAGAGGATGGTTCTAGACTATTCTCAGTGGTAGAAGAGGACAGGACAAGGAGTAATGGTCTCAAGTTGCAGTGGGGGAGGTTCAGGTTGGATATTAGGAAAAACTTTTTCACTAGGAGGGTGGTGAAACACTGGAATGCGTTGCCTAGGGAGGTGGTGGAATCTCCTTCCTTAGAAGTTTTTAAGGTCAGGCTTGACAAAGCGCTGGCTGGGATGATTTAATTGGGTATGGGTCCTGCTTTTGAGCAGGGGGTTGGACTAGGTGACCTCCTGAGGTCCCTTCCAACCCTGATATTCTATGATTCTATGAATGCAAACTTGCCGAACTCCTATGGAGACAGGAAACCATGCCGTGTATCTACCATTGACTCAATCACAGCTTTCCATTCCATTATAGAGCTCTTCTGTTAATGACACTATCTTTTGAGGGATGCTGAGTCACCTTATCAGATCCCATAAACTCGCTCAATGCTCCGAATCAAAGGCTTGATGGAAGTCTAGAAAAAATTCTCTAACTACAGTTTTAACTAAATTTTAAGGGACTTTTATCTATTTCTAGAAATAAGATAAAATGTAGCACAGTTGAATTTATGGCAGTGTTTTGATGCTGACTGTAATTTTACTTAAATATATTACCATGATTTATGCAGTAGAACCAGACTAGTACTGCAAGGGGATCATTGCAATTATATATATATATATATGAAAAAGTAGTACAGAATTTTAGAACTGTTAGTTTAAGATGCCTTGCTGCTTTATTATAAGGGTAATTTGGAGGTCTTCTTGGAAAATCCTGTAAACTTTTAAGGGGAAAATAGGATGAGTGTTTTCTACTCCTTTTGCCATGGTTTTGTACCCCATGCTGTGTATGAACTGCCTGCCTTAGAGGCAAGTTGGCTGTGATCCATATGATTATATTTAGAAAGAGGGCAACTTTTCTTCAATTGTTTTTTCCTCAAATGTCCTCTAGCAAATTTTTTTAAAGTGATTTTGTGGGTATTTTATTTAAACCCACACATGCAGTTTAAAAAGCTCTTAAACTGCCTCATTATTGTATATGCTCTGCACAATCTATATAGTAACACCTATCAGAACACCTTCGCAAGTTATCTGGTGGAAGTAACTATGAAAGCAATCTCTAACTCAGGGATGTTGCTGATAGGAACTTGAAAATATGTAGAGAGAATGATCAAACAGGTGCAGGATCTATGAACAAGTTTGGCACTGCATAAAATTAACTCTGCAGTGTTCAAGTTCCCTTTGGAAACAGATATTATATAATGTACAATTAATTATAATAGTGTTTTGCATTATGAGACATGTATTGTGTAGTGGCAAGAATGTGGGTCAAACTATAGAATTCTATTCCTGGCTCTCTCACTGAATTCCTGTGTGACCTTGGGAAGAATGATAATCTGTGTTTCGATTTACATATCTATAAATGATTAGATATTTACCTACTGTCCTAGGAGCTGGGAATTCATATTCATAAAGTACATTTAAATCTTTTTGTAAGGGTGCAAAGTTAACAAAGTACTTCCGTTTTCATTGTAAACTGAGAAACCGTGTTGTTTATTACAGCAGCCCACCTATCTTTGCATGGACATTTTTTCATTTAAGTCTACCATGCAAATTATTAAGGAAATGGAAACAGGGTCAAAAAGCTCTCTAATTGTGCTAATGATATTCAGGCATGGTTTTTTATTTGTTTTTCTATTTGGATATTCAGTTACATCCAGGAATTATTACAGCAATTCTATATCAAGAAGGATAATTTTATTTTCCTGTAATTGCTACTTAACTGGAATTTGCTCTTGTGACACTTGCTGTCCTTAAGTGCAAACTGCATTTGAAATTTGATACAGTTCATATTTATGTTTTATGGCTATAAAGACAATTTAAGAATACACTATAATTAACAATTAGTATGGTTTTAAAATGTGGAAGTTAAATTTTAAGCTTGTGCTATGTGGAAAAACAATGAATAAATTAATGAAGAATGATCCTTGGTGAGTTTATTTATGAAGGCAACCGGGAAGGAAGGTGTATAGTTTTGTAAGTGCTGTAACTCAAGCTGGTCTGAGACAATTGGAAGCTACTGTTTGTGGAGGAAAAATGGCAACTGGAGGAGGTGAATTACAGTGTTACATGTGAGGTATCTCTCTTGAGATAAAGCTGCGAGTAATGCCTGCCACTTATGTCTTGAAAATGAGATGTCATAGCACACTACCAGGTAAAGCACGAAGGAACAGGCACTATTCAATGTCTGTTAGCTTCTTTCCAAACGGAGATGGATTTTGATGCGAACAAATGCCCACTCGGTACAAGTAGTCCCCCTGAGGTCAAAAATGACTATGTACTTTGGATGCGAGTCTGTGCTGTGCCTCTACTTGGGGCAGCACGGAAATTGCATCATGGGGAGGGGAGGGGTGACAGAGCAAGGCCAGCTACGGTACCTTAAAACCATCCTGCAGTCTCTTGTATCTGGACTGTTCCAGAGATTGGAGAGACACTGCAGCATAATTTAGACAGCCTGAGGGCCTGTCAAAGTTACGGCAGCCTCTCCAGGCTGCCTGAAATCTCTATAGCATTGCATGCTGTGGTTGTGTTCTGAGGCCTATCCCTACAGGCCCCCTACACTTAGGGTTGCCAACTTTCTAATCGCACAAAACTGAACACCCCTTCCCAGCAGCCTCACCCCCACTCCCTCCATCCCCCCTCCCTCCATTGCTCACTCTCCCCCACCTTCACTCACTTTCACTGGGCTGGGGCAGGGGGTTGGTGTGTGGGAGGGGGTGAGAGCTCCGAGGTGGGGCCAGAAATGAGGGGTTCATAGTGCAGGAGGCAGCTCCAGGCTGGGGCAGGAAGTTGGGGTGGGGGGGAGGGGCTGAGGGCTCTGAGGTGGGGCCAGGGATGAGGGGTTTGGGTTGCAGGATGGGGCTCAGGGTTGGGGTGCAGGATGGGGTGCAGCCTCCAGGAGGGGGCTTATGGCTGGGGCAGAGGATTGGGGTGCGGACTCTGGAAGGCAGTTAGGGTGCAGGAGGGGGTTCCGATCTGGGGCAGGGGGTGCAGGGTGCCAGCTCCATCCGAGCAGCGCTTACCTCAGTTGGCTCCCGGTTGGCAGCATAGCTGAGCTAAGGCAGGCTCCAACCGGATCCCGGAAGTGGCTGGCATGTCTGGCTCATAGGTGGAGGGGCAGGGGACTCTGTGTGCTGCCTGCACCTGCAGGGTCCACCCCACAGGTCCCATTGGCCATGGTTCCCGGCCAATGGGAGCTGCAGGGGCGGCGCTGGGGGGTGAGGGCAGTGTGCGGAGCTTCCCTGATTGACCCTCTGCTTAGGGGCCTCTGGGACATGCCGGCCGCTTGCAGGAGCCATGCAGAGTCAGGTCGGGAGCCTGCCTTAGCCCTGCTGAGCCACCGGCTGGACTTTTAACAGAGCCACTAGGGTCTCTTTTCGACCGGGCATTCCGGTCGAAAACTGGATGCCTGGCAACCCTACCTACACTGGGTCTTGTGAGGGTGTCTCCAGGAGGCAGGCTTATGGCTATCTCCATAGTGTCTACACTACAGAAATCCTCCACTGGCCAGATGGTGATTTTAAGGCCTCTTTACACCACTCTAGCCTTTTTAGCCTGCATAACGGGACTTGAGTGGTGGTAAAGATCTCACACTTGGTGCTTAAGTGCTTTGTTGGATTGAGACCATATTCACGTTCTTATATTGTGCTTCTCACCATGCCTTCCATCTAACCAGTTATTCCACAAATACACAAAAAGCACATAGCTACTTTTGGCCTATTCCTTGTGTAGGCAAATCTCACACTGATTTGAATTGGAGCTATGCCTCATGAGGAATACAAGGTTGGACACTTAATATTGAATGCTGCAGATTGCATCCCATATGTGCTTTAACCTAAAGAAAAAATGTTGTACAAAAGCCTTGTGCTTCCATTCTGGATTTAAGATATCCATGGGCGTGGGCATCAGGTCAAAAAGATTAAAACTTGGATGGTAAACTGTTCTTTAATTTATTTACAGTGCAGCCTATGTAAATGCTAATGAATATGGTAGCAATTACAAATGATCTAATGGGTCAATGCATGAACCTATATGGAGTAGAAAAACAGCCTGGTTCTGATTTTCCTTACTGTGCTGTAAATCAAGAGCAACTCCAATGGTGTCCGTGGAGCTACATCAATGTTAAACAACTGTAAAGGGAGAATCAGGCCCAATATCCACATTATGTGTCCTGTAAAGAAAAAGTTATTGAAATGGTATTTAGTGATGCAGAGCAATTTTCCTGTAATGTTCAGTACACATCAGTAAATAAATTGTTCAAGTGGCTTAATGTTTCCCAGCCAACAGCTTTAAAATCAGTTGGAAAATCAGCAAATTCCCTCCCTTTCTGCTGAAAACAGAGCACCACTGGACAGTAGTCATGGCACGAAGAATCTGTGCTTGGTAGCTGGAGACACTGTTCACTTGAAGACAGTTTGATCCTTAGCATCAGATGCCATTGTTTTCTAGGGAATATACTGATAAATAAATATCAGCAAAGGACTCTTCCTCCATTCTGGAAAGTTAATGGAGAAGGTGAAAAATCAATAAACTGGGATTGATGTTAGAAATATGGTCAGTGATACAGGTTACAGCATCTTACTCAAATGTGCTAGAATGTGTTTGAAATCTGACACGTTGGCATTCTTTCTAAACACAGAGCATCTCTTTGTAGCGGTCATAAAAAGCAAAGGACAAGCTGCAGAGTATTGGAAAGAAGATCACTAGTCCCCTGTGGTCCATTCTTCACCTTCACTATATAATTCCCATTGAAGTCAAACATTTGAAGTTAGTTGGAATATTTCTACCCTGAAAAGGGAAGAATCAGACAGAAATGTCTGAAATCAAACATATTGGGCCTGCTTCCCTGCTTGCATTCCACTGACAGATTCCCTGCTGGGCCCCCAGTGTGTAATGATGTAGTAAATACAGTGTATATAATTAATCTGTTATGTAGATTTTTTTTAAATAAATAGATTGGGATGAAGGGTACTGGGTATGAAGTGGTCACCACTAGAAAGCCAATGTTTTCCAATGTTGTTAGAGAATTGTATCTGAGATGATGGTATCTCACTCTTAAATATCACATTTTATTTGTAAATAGAAGTTTCACAATTTTAAGTATCGTTAGTCACATGGGGAAACTGAGGCATAGTGAAGTGTACAGTTTTATCTCCTATTTTAAGTATAGGATACTACTGTGGTACCTCGCGTACAGTAGTTACCACTTAATTTTTTTTCTATTTAGAATAGAAAAATCCACACTGATATTAGTTAAAAATGCTAAGAACAATTTGTAAAGATTGTAATGGCTGTTCTTGGTGGCAAATGGTTGTGAACGTTGACTTTCTGGTGACAGACATGAATCATATCATTAGTGTAGATCAGTAATTCCAAATTTATTTTTAATAAAGTGGCCTTTAAAGGATTACTTGTCATAACCACATATTGCTTTTCATACCTTCAAATGTCCTCCATGCTTAGATTTAACATCAAAGATACAGGACTGTTTTTTAATCAATAGTTTATTTTATATGACAATTTGCCTTTTATTAGGCTGGGATCATTTGCAATGAGGTTTCACTTCTTACAGAAATTTTATTAATGCATATGGCCCTTCACCTACTTACCAAAAATTCCATGTAACCCCAAAAGCAAATGGAAAAAAAAAGAAGCATCTGAATGTTTCCATAAAATGTTCAGAAATTAAAATAATGGCAGTACAGAAGAAAAAATCCATAAATTAACATTCTGTGCTGGAGATCTGCACATGATCAGCCATGCTTGCTGGATAAGTCTGTCTGTTGGTTGTTGCCATGGCTACAAAAAGCCAGTGGAACCCAATGAGCTGTCTGCAGCACTGCTGAAAGGACCAGCCATTTTGCTTATGGAAAACAGTGTGACATATTATGCTGTGCTTTACCACAGAATAAACAAAAATCCACTCGCAGGAAACAGAGGAAACAGGCATATTAGTGAATAATTATTACAGCTGAGCATGCCCTCAAGATGCCATTTTGACAAGCTGGTGGCTGCAGCTGCCACGAGCTGATCTGAGAGGGTGGAATGCAGAGTGATAATGCTGCATATCTGCTAACAGCAGTGGAGTAGGATTTTTGACTTGTAAAGGCAAGGTTTCTCTGCAATGTTATCTCAACAGCTCGCTAGCTGCTCAGAGTGAAAGCTGCTGACCCAAAAGAAGGGTGTTGCCCTCTCTCAACATTGTTCTTGTGCACTGCTGTTTTATATGAGCAGGCGCTGCTGAAGAAGCAGGTGTGCAGTTCAGATGGGCTCTATACTGTAGGCTGTAAAAACCAGGTTTACATGCTTCCTATTAACAGATTGTTGGTTTAGGAGCATCTGCCTGTGGACTTATTCATAGAAGGAGGCTACTGTACATCTCAGCTTATGTGAAAGAGGTAAGCATTTGTTTTGTTTTCAGTTGTGTAAATACCTTGAGTGAAACTTCCTGCAAGTGAAACCAATCTACAAAATATTTACCCTTAAAAGGTGACTTGGGCAGTGACTTGTTTAGAACCTTTTTTTGAATTACATTGATTGATCATTTTACAGATTATTCGTGTCAAATATTGTAATGTACCCTTCCAAATATTTGCTATTTTGAACTAATTCATTTTGAATAGTTGACGAAGTCATGTATACACATTTTACTCACACACAGTAGAGATTTTTTGTATCCTGCTGTGACCTGTATTGTAGGAATTATGTGGGATATGAAACATTATAGAACTTGTGGCTATTTTATTTGAAAAACCTTAAAATCATTCAATTCCCCGGCATTGCAGTACATGCATTGTGCTCAACCTTAATAATGAAACTAGATTTAAACTGTCCAACTGCTGCTGTGCAGTATGTAGGTCATAATAGAAAGCAGGCTTTGCTCTAGTTTTTATGAACTGCATGCCCCAGTGCTGTGTTTGATTAGTTTCTGGTACTTGTACTGTTAAGAGTCTAGGTAATAGGTGCTGCTCACAACTCTTTTTCAAAGATATCGTGCATACCATGCTAGCACAGAGCACAACACACCCATTGTGTCCCTCAATGTGGAGTTCAGGAAAAGAAAGGAAGCCAGCACTCCACATGGAGCACAAGTACAGTTATAGTATAAGATGGTTAAACTTCTTTTATGGCACAACCTCATTAATATGCTAGCTGCTGTGAGTGCTACATAAAATAAAAAGGCACAGAAATATTTGAATATGATAGTTCTTGTGAATGGCTATGTGCTAAAATTATAGACACTCAATTCCAAAATTAATTGCCGCTTGACAAGTAAAACATAATCTGATTAATTGACAGTCTCAGAGGCAGACAGCAGTTATGTGGATTGAATTTGGTCAATAAAACTATAATCCTTCGGCACAGCCAGTGATCTGAAAATATTTAAATTATGTTAACCGGTAGCATTTCAGCCTCTGTAATCTAAGAACTCTCTTACTGAATACCATCATATCTGACTGCTCATAATAACACTGAACATCTGAAATGGATTAAAACTGTTCACTGACAACTCACCAGGAATTCTGATTCTTTATGTTTACACTGGTAAAATGTGTTAATGTAATGTTTGCATTAACTTGTATTTAACAGTTGTACAGATTTAAATCTCGCTACCTCATATACTTAGACAATAGACTGGGCATGAGATTAATCATTACAAATTCCAGTACATAATTACAAAGGTAAATTAGTAACAAGTCACTATTGTATAAAATGGTGCAGTAACTGGGAGCCAAAGTCCAAGAGGTTTTCAAAGTGAGCGTGTCCAGCCAATGCACACAGAACTAAATGTTACATTTGAAAACACTGCTACTGAAATGGAAGTCTCTTGTCCCCTGCCTCCTCTAAATCATTCCTTCAGAAAAGCCTCATCTTCCATGAATTATGTGTTTATCTCTTCACCAATAACTGTCCATGAAACACCTCCCTTACCTTAATTACTGTTCTGTGTTTAGACTTGTAGGCATCCTACTGTATGTTCTTTGGGGCAGGGACCATGTCTTTTTCTGTGTTTGTAGAGTGCCATATACATTTACAGTGCTATATAAGTATTTATAAATAACTGGATGTGTGTGTGTGATTATGATTACTTCAGCCGTGTAAATAAGGGGTG